TGCTTAGTTGAACTATTGACTTAATAATTCTCAAAGTATTGTGTGAGCATATACGTAAGTGCATGAGAGTGCCTCCTTTTGTAGAAATTTACTCGCCTTTCGTAAATTCCGAAATAATTTGTTATATTAAAATTATTATTTCCAAATGAAAATCATATCTAATGTAGAAAAATTTCAACATCTCACTATTTTCTCAAACTATTAGTCCGGTTATAACAATATAATCTCAAAAAATTATTTTAATTATAATAAGCAAAACTTTTCAGATATTATAGCATTGATACATGCTAAATTTCGTGAAAATATCTTGCCAAAATCGAACCTTGCGGACTTGGCTAAATAGGCTTAGTTTATCACGCTGATTATTTTTATATGTATATAGTGAAAATATTTGTATCTCGTAAAGCTTTTCTTCAATCCAAGTTCAATGAAGACTATAAAGTAGAAAATGTAAAACTGAAAGCGCTCACACACACATGAATAAGCATAATAAAAGTGAGTGCCATTAGTGCGTATGAACGCAGAATGAAGTCGCGATTCATCCCCCCCACATTATGAAGATAAGACGTCGGAAAGTAAGGTCGAATCTTATTTGGTAAATTCAAAATAGGTACTCATAACGCTAACAGTTGTGAAAGCATCGGACTCAAGTGAATAGATTCTTCAAAGCTATTGGAAGGCAGTTCGAAGAAATAGAGGACACAAAAAGGCAGTTGTCAAGTGCAAATGACGCTCTAAAGATGAAAATAAATTTCGTTTGGTTATATATTATACATGTAACTATATACATTCAAGTACATATTCACTCATTTATAGGGTAGTGAATATCAATCAGTTTAATATTTTCTACTAATACAGCATCATACTCTCATACTTTTTTACTTTACGAGCGTTTTCTTCAAATTCAGGTTACTCATACGCAGCGAAAAGAAATAGTGGATTTTTTATTCAATTGTGTGGTGCTGTTGAAAATTGATTGACTATGGATTATCCTTCCAAGTGTGGTACTGCGCAAGATTATTTTGGGTAAATTGCTGCTTTCAGCAATATGCTTACCAAATTCTTTGCATTACTAACGAACAGCATTAATCCGATTTTGAAGCTTTGCTGTCTTACGGTTTGGTAATGTTAATTGATACCCTTTCGCTTCCGATAGATAAGAATCCATAGGCACTTACCAGAAACGTTTTGAATTGAAACAAGTAAATGACAGGTATATTGTGGCTTTTCCTTGAGAGTTCCAGTTGGTGTTAGCATTTGTGCCAAGTCAGCAGCTGATTAGCATATAGTTAAGAAGTATCAATTATAATAGTTCAGTTCAATTTACTTTATGAAATTTTAATTTAATTGTATTTCATTAAAATGAGTATCCTCATGCAATACAGGCCATCAATTTGAGTATATGAAGAAAGTGTCAGAATTACAAGGACATATAATTTATGAAGCTTATAAGTGACACATTAAAAATGAGAGGCAACCGTTTGACGCTAATGGCTTCATCTCTCCCATAAATTAGAGTAGTTAAGGCAAACCCGTTAGGCAGGGTACATATTTTGATGTATTTTTTTGAGCTCAAGGTTCTCTTTATGTTAAATCTTCCAAAGAAGGGTTCACTTATAAGGTAAAAACAGAAAAAGCGCATATGCGAAAAATGTTCTACAAATCATTCTGAATAACTTTGCCTAAGAAATTATGGGTCCAAAAAAGCTGGCTCGAATAAAAATAATATAAAAATTTGCTCGTCAGTTTTTGAGACATCCGAATCAAATTTAATATGGAGGGGCATTTTGATATATAATACTATTGATCATTTGTAAGAATTGCCCAGATCGGACAACTACAACATATATCTCCCATATAACTGATTAATCAGATTTTTTGTTTACCGCTATACTGCTTTTAATTACAAAGCTAACAGCACGTAATATTGCAAAATCATCCTCCCATGCATACTTACCACTGACTGTGCGAAAAAAAGAAAATCAGACAACTATAATTTATATCTCCCATACATCTGACCGGCAGGAACGGATTATAAGTATTTGTGTCAACTTATGAACGAAAATACTGGCAATATTGGTCGTAAAAAACAATTATCAGACTTTATAATAATTTCCGCTGGATTTTTATAGTAAATATTCACATATATAATTTTACGGGTAATACTGTGATCATAGGTATATTTACAAAGTGCGGTAATGACAAAATGTGCAATCGAACCAAGCAAAAATGTAATCCCATTGCGGTCAAATACAGGACACATACATATATAAACATAAGTGCAAGGATAAAAAGACAAAGTTTCTTTCGACTAATTTAAAACCGTTACTGCATATATTCCCATGCTTGAATTTTAATCCACATAAATATATACATATGTGTCAATCATGTGCAAAAAATATATATGTCGTTGCCTCCATATTTTTAAAGCTAATGTAATGAAAACGTTTGACGTGCGTTGGCTCGCTTTCACATACTTATATACACTTTGTATTCGCTTCATATGTGATATTGTTGTTTCCCTTCTTTGTTTATAGCCGCGTGTTGACTTTATGCTGCGCGTGTTTTGTGTTTTACTTTCAGCTGTTATTGTTTTTCAACACTACCCTTGCAAGGGCGTAACGAACTGTAAATAACTTTTGAACTCCAGCCTACATACTCACGTACTATGCTATGCTCACATTTGACGAATGCTTTAACGATTTTGTGATATTTATATTTTTAGGATATAAATATCAAGTGAAAAATGCAGCAACAAAGTTAGTAAACAACAAGGCACGTGTATTTATAGGTTATTTATGGGCCCAATGAAGGCAAATTGTACTTATCTATTGGAATTTATACAAATTTTCAAGTTAAATTAAGCAGAAAATATTCTAAACTGCATTAAAAAGGAAAAGTAAAATTATATTATTAATTTACGGTCTAGGAATTGCTTTTATCCAAACATTTTGAATCTAAAATTAGTTAATTGCAAATTTGTACTCATACATTCGTATTAAGGCAAGTGAAAATTAAAATATGCTATTTCCATTTAGTAATTAGCTCTGTTATCTGCATGTATACTCGTACATCTTTTTGTTCATATTAATTGCATAGCCTATGCAGTAATTAAATGAAGAGAATGACATGCGTTGAAGCTTTGGTTAATCGGATCGCATGCAAATGTCAAATTTCATCATTGGCAAAATTAATGAAACAACAAAATGCAAATAAGACAGCCAACTAGCAATTAATTAAAACCAATGGATGCAAGGCCAATCGGGAGGGAAACCTGAGTAATGAGCAACTTTCTATATTTAAAGATATTAAGAGAATTGAGTTACTGTTATCTATTAAAAATACAGCAAATGAATGGAAATGATAATAATACAACTGGTTGAAGTAGATTTTTTCCTTTCATGCTTTACTATTTAGTGTATTATTCTTGTATCCCCATCTATACATACACTAATCTCTTAGTAGACAATGTACCAGTTACCATAAAAATGTAAGTTAACACTAACTTTCTCGAAACAAACAGGTTAAAAGTAAAAACCCAAACACTTTTAATTTATTAAATAAATTTTGAGATTATGCGAAAGCGGTGTCAACACAAAAGTTGTAGATATTTTTATTTTCTACAAACTTGTCACATAACTTTTTTCTATAGGACTCGTAGTTTTGTCGAGATTAAACACTTTTACCTCTTAAAAATTCAACCACGCCCTTCAACTTCCTTTTACCGACCACAGCTCGCCCGTAATTTATTTTTTCTTTAATCTTTGTTATATTATCTTTCGTTTCCAATGGGTTTCAACCTACCATAAATATCTTTCACTATTTGCCATCTTCATTGGCTTCTGCGCTGGTCTATAGGGCCAATTTTTTAAGAATTTTTTTAACTGGCTGTGCAATAGCTTGAGAAAAATATAATTTACGTCAGAAAGTATTAAAATTATTCTATGCAAGTCATGCATATCGTATGAGTAATACATGCAGCGTAAAGCGAAATGCAACGTCACGATTGGGAAATGAAATATGCATAGCAATATTGCCTCTAAAATCAATTTAACAGATAGGAGTAGAAATATAATAATACACCAAAGGGCTATAATATAATTTATTGCCGCAGTAAATGGAACAACTCAGAATTGAAACCTTACCAATTGGCTAGACGAACATGAATTTCATAGCAATTGCTTAAGATCACATTTTTATGTAACACTGACTTTGTGTTGCATAACACTTTGGTTTTTGTTACACCATGAAGTTGCGTGCTCCTTCCTTTCTGATTGCCAGAACGATTTGTCAGTGATGTGGCAAAAAAGTGGAAAGCGATTGAAAAAGAGTGTTGCGATATTTGGAAATAAACGAGAGCTTGAAATGAAAACAAAAACAGCAATAAAAAATCTATATCGTTTATCGTTTTATATGCTATTTGACAGTTTTTCTATGTAGAATGACATCACCGGAATTTGGATAGTGTAATTTTATTTTTTGTAATTTTTAATCTGTCAATCACAGCATAAACCGAACCGATGGCAGAAATGCACTGCTTTTAGTGTGATATACAAGTATGTATGTATGTGATATTCATGGTTCTTATGTTTAGTTATGAAAATCAGTTTCTATAGACAAACCGCATGTTGACCTCACTTTTTCAAAATCTTAAACCAATATCGTTTTTAATTTTTATTTCTTTCCAGATTTGAAAAGATTCTAATTTATATTAAATATGTTAAAAGGTTAAAAAGGTCGAAGCTTCAAATAAGTTTAGAAACATATTTTTGGAGAGTTAAGTTTAATCCTTTTATTCTTACTGACTAAATAATCTTTGCAAGGCGCGCTAATTAGGAATATTTCATGTTGCTATAGACCGTTTCAACCAACAACTCAACTAAAACTCTTCATTTACCTAAAATATTTTTAAGTTTTATAATGTCATAATTCATTGAATATTCAATTTCTATTCTGCATGATCGCTTTGTAACAACTTAATTTACTTTTTCTCTTTACAGACACTTAAAGAGGTAGCATTTCAACGACAGACTAGTAATTTGCAGTTAAAAGAAGGTGAGTGAAATTTTTTCCAATACTCACGTTTAGTAAATAAACAAATTTTTATACAGAAAATATAGTTGATAAATAAAGGTTTCGTTGAAAATTTTTTATTTGATTAAGACAATGATAATTTCATCATCTATTCCTAAGTAGTTTGATTTTATTGAAAGTAAGTATGAAACCCAAAGGACAGGGTATATTAAGTTTGCCACGAAGTGTATGTAAGGAAAGTATGGAAGCAAACGTTGGAGACCTTATAAAAATACATATAAATGATCAGCGTGACGACCTGAGTAGATTTGGCCTTGTTCGTCTGTGTGTATATACGCAAAGTAGTCCCACACTTTTAGAGATATCGCCCTGAACTTTTGCACACATCCTTTTCTCTCCAAGAAGCAGCTTGTAGGAACCGCCGAAATCGAACCAATATAGAATATAGCTGCCAAACAAACTGATTGACCGGAATCTAGTTTTTGTATGAAAAACTTTATTATCTGACAAGATATCTTCCCAAATTTGGCAAGGATTATTATCCGAAGCATTAATACAATATCAGATTGGACGACAATAGTTGCCACACACACTGAACGGCTAGAATTAAGCTCTTGTATGGAAACTTTTTTATTTGTGAAGGGTATTCTAGCTTCAGTACAACTAAGCTTAAATTTTTTATTTTTTTTTTTACTTTGATCAAAACTCATGCAAAATGTATATATTGAACTACCAAACTATATTGCTAACTATAAGCATTCTTAACGTTTTCCGTTTCTGAATTCCATTCGTCAGGACAATAACTTTTATATTGCAACACATCTGTATACACTTGGGTATAAGAATAAAAATCGTAAAATTTTCCAGAATTTGTTAAAGGAAAAATACTGGAAATATTTGTAAAACAAAAAATTTGCTATGGCATAACACCCACGGCCATCTATTTTCGTTACATATTCAAAAAGTTATACATATGTGGGTATTGGGTAGAAGAACAAGTGAAGCAATAAAACTTTTCAAGTTACAAAAGAAATCTCTTTCACAATATAAAATGCTATTTATATTTTTTGCATTTGGACTACCAATACGCAATGCCACAATAGAAATTCGCATATAAAAAGTATTACACCCAAATAAGATACGATTACGTAAGTGGCATAATATGAGTAGGATGCTTTCTATATAAAATGAGTGCTTATGAGACAAAGAAAGAAAAAGTAGCAGAAAAGTAAAGAAATTAGAATTTTGTAACAGGAAAAATAATGTATAATTTTAGGCAATGATTTCAAAAGTTAACGAATTTTTAGAAGCTTTTAAACGGAAAACCATAACGCTTTACCCATGGAGCACGAAAGCAGAAATGCGAACTCACTTTTTTTAATTTGCTTGCTAATTATTTTACAAGCTTATATCTCTAACCACGTATTCCAATTTTACAACTTCTCATTTCTTTTAGACATTTGTTAATCTTTCGTTCGCTAGAACTGTAAATGGATAACTTTTTACGAGCACAAAAAGCAATTTTTTCACGTTTTATAAAACAACTTAAGCAACATGAGATTTATTGAAGCTGTCAGCGCGGTTATGAAAATATTATATGGAAATTCAATGAGCTCACTTTTATACCTATGCATACCGTACAACTCATTTTCAATGTGCAAGTAGAGAAATAAAGACATATTATGTATTATTAGCTTTGAATTATTTTGTCAGTTTTTTTATACATTATCACTCTTTTGTTGACAAATCTTGTACTTTTTGACACACAATAAGTTTTTCTTGTTAATTAACTATCAGGTAACCGGTAAATATACCATATATATTTTGGTATACGGGCTCATTTTAATAGTTGTATTGTACAAGTCCGTCTCTGCCCGTTGAAAGTTTGCTTGTTGCTTACTCATTTGCCATTTTGTTTCGTACTTCCTTCTCTCATTTATCAATTCAATTGTTAAACATAATAACGACGTTGATATTTAAATTAAACCAAAGAAAAATGCAAGCAAATGTTTATAATATTTTTCTAGAACGGTTGGCATCTAATCACTTTATTTTAATATCAAAAATAAATCCGTTCTATACAGAGTTCTTTAAAATATATTATGAAATTCACGATTAATAAACGAATATTAAACTGTTATTTAATTTACTTTACGAAAGACAAAAAATTTAATTAAGTTAAGTTTTTTTATATAAATTTACTGGTAATGTTTTTTATTCCAATAAGATTTGTTACCGACACAAAACTATAGATAATTACATTAAAACACGATTAATGTTATTTTTACTTTGTCGATATGGAGCTTCAATACAAAAAATACTATACGTTTCAAGCTCTTCTGTGATCTAACCACAACTATTATGAAATAACGTTTTAGAGATTTATTACATTTTTATACATCCTCCTCCAAATAGCTAATTTTAAGCATATTTCTCTCTTTATAGGAAAGCTATCCAGTATTAGCTTTATTTTTTGTTTGTGGCAACTCCGTATTTTAGAAAATATTAAGTAAAACTTAAGTAAAAGCATTATTCGAATGAAGATGAGAAATTTTCTGCAAGCATTCTTAAGTAGTTTGATTTTGTTTTACCCTTATCCTTTAAAATTATGGATTTTTGTGAAATAAACGGGATTGAATATGTACAAAAATGGCTTGGTAAACCCTCCGCTGACATTCAACACTAGCTACTATTTGAACTTGTGATGGAAAAATATTGAGCGTAGTGAAAGTCAAAATAAACAAAGGAAGCGGCATTGAAAGTGCAAAAGTCAACAAGTGCGCGCCTACATTTATATAAGTAGAAAGGGTGAAATGGGTTGTTGGATTTAAACTGTGAAAATATTACTAAAAGAGGGGAAGCAAAGTTTAAGTTGTTCAAAAAAGTCGATATGCTACGTTGCATCTAAAGGTAACTGTGGTGTTGTCGATTTAGTGGGCGAATTCTTTTCACACCGTGAGAATATTTTTGTTTTGCCAGGGAAGCGAGCAGGAGATGTAAGACCAGGAATATATTTGCATGCACAAGAGTAAACGGTTAAAGCGATTTATAAAACTGACAGGCAACAGATGGTTAAAGAACCGAGGTAACCGAGTGAAAATACGAAAATGAAGAAAAAATTTGACAATGAAGAAATAAGGAAATAATAACAAATAATATTTTATGTGTGCAAATAAATGCTCCAGAGTTCAGAAACGAATATCTGTATAGGAAGTTCAACATGGAAGCAATTTCATGAAAAAACATATGTATTGAAGGTATGTGTGTAGTCTGTAAAGGGAGTTGGATGGAAGGCTTGTGCTTCAATGCTACGTGGGCAATATTTGTGATTTCGTGTTATACAAATTTTTTAAAAGATGCACATATGTATATTCAATTACCGAATGTATAAAACCCCTCTCAGATGCATTTTTTAAAGGGCAGAGAAAAATCTTTATTCTGATTTTGATCGGTCAGTTTATATGACAGCTATGTGCCTTAGACAATAATAGTCTAGTAACAGATAGCTTGTCAAATAAAAAAGTTTTCCATACAATAAGTTTGTGTTCAGTTTGTATGCCAGCTATATGCTATAGTTCGGCGATTCGGCGGTTCCGACAAATCAAGGTGAGAAGGTGGTCTACTAAAGTTATGTAGTTATTTATAGTAAAATATTTATAATAAAATTATAAAAATGTTCACGTTTATGCTTAGTCAACACCTTAAACATATACCCGTATATATTTCTTTTGACTAAGCCATTTTTCTTTGGTTTGATCTAACTTATCTCAATTACTCATATAATTTCAGCTCTATCAATACCATACAGTGTTACTCATACGCCCCAACACTCTGAACGTGGTAGTGCAAAGTTTGCCACGATGTTTGCAATACCCAAAAGAAAACGGCGAAGACCCTATAAAGTATATACACACATAAATGCTTAGCGTGACGAGCTGAGTAGAACCTGGTCCGTCTGGCTGTCCGTCCGTCTGTGTATATGTGAACTTGTCTCTCAGTTTTCGAGATATCGATCTGAAATTTTGCATACGTCTTTTTCTCCAGAAACAGCTCATTTGTCGAAACTGCGGATATCAGACTACTATAGTATATAGCTGCCATACAAACTGAATGATCGCAATCATGTGCTTGTATGGAAAACTTTTTTGTTTAACGAGATATCTTTACCAAATTTGGCATGGGCTATTGCTTAAGACAATGATGTAATCACCCACGAAATTGTTTAGATCTGATCACTATAGCATATAGCTGTCATATAAATTGAGCGATCAAATTCTTTTATTTGTGAAAGGTATCATAGTTCCAGTGCAACCGAAGTTAACATTTTTTCTTGTTGTAATACAAATAAACTGAATGACCGTTGAATTAACTTCGAATTCAATTATGGCGCTTGCTTGTAATTATTCAGCCATATTATTTCCGCTTTTACTTTCAAAAGAGAAGAGCTGAAAATAATGAAACTTGAGTTTGTCTTTTTGGTTAACTTGTGTCAATTTGCACTTATTTTATCTAACTTACAGCTGATACTGACTACTTAAGCTAGCGCACTCAGTTAATAGCAGTTGCATTTGTTTTTTGTCGTAGTTTTACTTTTGTAATTGGCAATTTATAGCTAATGCTATAAAGCAACTGGTGTTTTATTTTAATATTCTCGAACTTTGCCTCAATTTAATATTCCGACTAGGAATTCAAGCCCACTTGTTTTTCATATTTCTGCTATTTAAAGTTCACTTTTCCATTCCATTCCCCTTAATCCAACTTTGATATCTATTATTTGTTCCTTTTTGATCTTTCCTTCTTGGCTTTGAACTCTTCGCTGTGTTTTTATTTGTTCTCATTTGCATTTCCGCCTTTCGCGACGCCGTTTATTACTACTTTATGCAAATGCTTTTTGATTTATAAGTGTTAATAGGGTATGTTTTCCAAATAACTGCAGGCAATATGCAAAGTACTTGAGACCAGACAATTGCCGTCTGTTGAACTATTCATGCAAGAAATGTACGTTTGAGCTATAGCATTAT